TTAATATATATAGTTTTTTTCAACATTTTATTCAGAGAGCATTTAGACTACATATGATCTATATCACCACTTTGAAAATATAGTTTTAAAAAAATATTAAAAACAAACTTACCTTGAATTCCTGGAATAAACGACAACATTTCACTGCAAAGGATTTCTAATCATCACGATCAGCGGGTTTTAGTAATAGAGTTCTGAGTATTTTGTTATTTTATTTTGCTAGCACGTTGTTATAGTTTTGTTAGCGCAAAGCTAGAAAATGGGCTATCTGCACTCTGTACGTTGCTGGAATTAAACACCAGATTTAAGCGTTGTAAATACGTAAACTTACCTCCTACTCACCGGTGGACATTTTGTTAGTTACGATGACTTATTTTTTGTACACATTATAGGTGGCGGTATCGTCTTATAATAAGGCTTAACAATAATTTCTGCAACGAAAACACGGATTGAAAAAGTTTATTATTAATACATTGATACATAAAATGAGCAAATTATGGAAGGTTGGTCGAGCTAACGGAAACATCATAGGGAAGATTATTGTCCAGATGAAATTATGGGAGAAAAAAAAAACACTTAACAACGAAAGACAAGGAGTTTTTAAAATTGATCCTTCGAAACACGAAATGGTCTTACTGTGGTAACTGAACTTATTACTATGTTGTTATTTTAATAAAACAACAACTTCCAATTCCATTAAACACACAAGCACAGAAAAATATTTAAATTTATATTTTTGTTTACTTTTAATCATTTTTGGAGTATTGTAATATATAAATATTCAGTAAAGTCGGTACTATGAATACAAACTTAAAGCTAAGACCTTTTGAATATTTTAAAACTTTTCCTCTAACAATAAAATGCAAGCTTATACCAACCTTACAACATATAAAGTCTGACATTATGTTTATGTACTGTAATGATACGTTTTTGAAATTGTGGACTTTTAAAATGGAACAAGTTGAACTATATGTTTATGTATTGTAATGATACGTTTTTGAAACTATGGACTTTTAAAATGGAACAAGTTGAACTAACTTAGAAAAATCATAAGGTGTTACAACATTTCAAGTAATGTTTCTAGGTTGTAATACTGGCTAATAATATATGTCATGGCATAAAGAAGATGAATGAAAAGGGAGAAAATTGCTACAAGTTCCCACCAAAAACATTATTTTTTATAGCTTAATAATCCTGCCGCATACCGTCGTTAATAAGAGTCAGTAGTTTAATTAGCTATAGCGTCTTCCCGGTGATCAGAGTCAAGTGATCCAGTCATATCCGATATAAATTTGTACAATAATTCTAACTATACACAGGTGCCATTCTTAGAGTTTGTATTGTTACAGGAGCACCGCCATTGTTTGTGTGACGACATCGTGTGTCAAATGACTTCAGCTAACGTAAGCAGGATAAACGAGTTGCTGATCAAAGTTTTTTTCGGGAGAATTTTAGGAAAAAAATCCTGTACTCAACGCTTGTTAATATATGGCTCATGGCGTATTCCAATTGCTTGTCGATACTCTTTTAATGCTACACCATCAATGTCTCCATTCTTATAGCAAGCATTGCAAAACTATTCTCTGCAAGATTTTGCTCTCAATATATTGTTTACGAACTAGAAATCGCAGTTGCTGGGATCTGTATGGAATCCTATATCGAAGATTATATATAAATAACTGGATGGCAGCCACGCCAATAAAATGCTTCGGCCAAAACCTAGCAGTGTACTTCTTCTTATGGATTCTAAATTCCGGGGTTATTTTTAATAACACACAATTTCTCTTTCATGACACTTTTTATACTTCTTTATAACTACTCAATCTAGTCAATTTGCATCTTATTTAATATCTTAAAATATCTTTTTCCAGGTCATATATCTAAGTTTCCAAGTTTTTTTTTATTCTTTTTACGGGTTTATTCCTTTATTTTTCTGATAAAGAATTAAGGTTCATTATATGATTATCACTTGTATGATGCTTTGACATCACAATATTAGTTCATTGTACAACTTTTTAAAAATCTGTTTACATAGTAAAAGTTTCGTGTCGAAATTTCGTTGAATAACAGTTTGCTGATTATAAACTATTTATTATTTATTGATAAAATGTCCACCGATGCGGTAAGTCTTCGGATTTATAACGCTAAAGTTTGGGTTTCGATACCTGTGATGGTCATAACACAGAGAGCCTCTTGTGTAACTTTGTGCTAAACAACAAACAAAATCTTAATGAAATAATGTATTCCGTGTACGAACCCGGATCTCACATTTTGTTGGTAATCTAATTATGAATTACACAGTGTTGTAGATTATTAAATGCACACATACATATTAAACCAATGAAAACGTGCTCTAGGAAACGGACTACTGTATGTCGACGAGGCTAAAATTTTGAAAGCAAAAATAAGGTTAAAAATATACTGTAGACCACGAACGAGACCGGTTACAAAATGGGTTCGCACAACATCCACTACAAATTTGATTTGAATACATATTTTAGTCGAACAAATCTTCAGGAACATTGAAATGTGGTCAGTGAAATTGAACTGTGGTAATATTTCTTGTGTGGATGTCTTTTTACGCAGTAGGAGCAGTATATGCGAATGAAATATAAATCATTGTTTTAGGGGAGACAATAATGTATTGTTCCGGGAACTATTTATTAGTCAAAGAGGGTCATTTTGAGAAAATACTTCATCCAGTCATTCAACTTCATATACATAGTCATACATTTCATATATATACATTCATCATTTATACATTGAACATAATTTCTAACCCCATTATTGTCCAAGGATGTTCATGGATATTCTATCTTAAAAAGTTTATCCATTTGAAAACCCCTGGTTAGCAAGAAGTAAGCCCTTATCCCGTTGGCGTTTCTGACAGGATATCAAGTATCGCACCTCATCCGCAGCCATGCCAGATTTCTGTTGGTAGTATATAATCTACAAACATTTGGCTGCTTTCAGCGTAGTTTCATCAACGTCTGCTTACAGGATATCAAGTATCGCACCTCATCCGCAGCCATGCCAGATTTCTGGTTGGTATATATAATCTACAAACATTTGGCTGCTTTCAACGTAGTTTCATCAACGTCTGCTTTTGTTTTCATACGGTCTAAAATTTTTTGGACGGATGTATCGCGAAGTATGATTAGCTAGCATTTTTTTACCAATACCAGAGAGACAACTGGTTGAATCACAACCACGGACCACCTGAAGTACTGGTAGTGCTGTGTATATCTCTTTCGAGGTGTTCTGATACATTACGGTTAGGAACATACGGTACTTGTCTTTGACACCTATGCGAAACCATAGCTCTCTGCAGCCGAGTTTATGACATAAAGAAATGTGTATAATCTAGCAACATCTGTATCTGGTACTTACAAGCTTTGGTGATGGTTTTGTGATTCATTGTCAGTATGATGCAAGAGTCTAGTGTTCGTTTGTTCATGGTTTAATGTAAAGCAATGGATGATTTCCCGATGACTCTTTGTGACATAAACAGCCACAGTCACTGAGTCCTCCACCAATGAGTTCTCATTGAAGTCTCTCTCCTCCTAACCAGCACAGCTGTTCAGTAGCTTAATGTTTTTTTTTTATGCTTCTACTGTACTTTGCCAACTTTTTGAGGATTGATGTTTCGGTGCGGTGAATTTATATTGCATTCGTCAGCTTTGACCGTATTGTTTCTATACTAGTCAGCTACTGATCAATCTTTCTGAGGCCGTTATGACCAGTTGGAGCTGTGACGAGATTGCAATGTTTCTTGGCCAAATCGCTAAATGAATATGAGTGACCATCACCAGGAACTTACAACTGAGCCATACCACCAAAAGATGTGAGCATACGAACGGAAAAGAGTAATATTAAATTTTCAGGGAGGTGAGGTGAATGAGTAATGATACACATCGTTCACAGAAAGGAATACTTTATTATAACAGATACTTTCTTCTTAAATATACATCTTAGCTTGAAAACTTGCTTAGTACTGTAAATATTAATAATACCTATTAGAACATGTAATAATTAAGCTTGCATTGTCACAGTAGTAAAGTAAAATGTTGTAAACTGTAAATCACACTATATAACATGCCATTAAAAATTATGTATAAATATTGTTTACAGCAAATTTTACTCAGACAGTAACAATAAGAAAACAAACACACGAACCTTACCATATGTTATTATATAGTATAGGATACAATGTTAAAGCATAATCCTGTACCCCCAGAACATTTCAATACTGTACAATCGTAATGGCCTATGAATTAGAAAATTACTCTATTATCGGATAAAATTAATACATGTTAGTGAAATACTGTTACTTAGGGGCATAAAACAATAATATCATTGATACTTCTACCTAGAGTTTATTAATACGAATATAACAGTACAAATATATAGCATAACAGATGTGTAGGGACTAAGATAAAAGGCAATACATCCCAGATACTGCAAAATGTGATATTTGCTCAATATAATGGAGATATACTCCAGTAATATAATGAGCTAGATCAAAAACTGTTAGCATAGCTTGCGACCACAAACTCCTTTGGGGCAGTTTTTTTGGGATATAACCTAGAACAGTATCAAGTCAAACCATTAGTGTAGGCTGGGTGGGTGTCATATCCTTTATTTTTGCTCCTAAAGAAATTACCTCCTGATATACAATGTTATGAAAAGAAGATGGATTGACAGTCAAAAAACATATTTTCATGTTTCATTAAATAAAATAAAACATTATATAATGCGTATGGACCACATTTTGAAAGAATGTTTTTGATAATGAAATAAACATGAAAATAAGAATAAAATTAATTCACTCCAATAAAGTAAACGATTTTATTTTATGATTATCATAGATGTTAAATTTACTTGAAAACAATTTATAAAATGAAATATTTGAGGAAAACATTTATTTTTGCATGTATAGCATTAATTAACTACGGTTTATTTGAAAAAACTTTTTTTAAATCCATGTCAGTCATTGTTACTTTTTTAGTAATACTGTTAAATACCATGGGATGGTACATCCCTTTCGGATGTGATAATAGTTTTAATCCAAATAACAGTTTGCACAACTTCAACCCATATAACAGTTTAAACAAATATCTGATAAAGTTAATATTAAAGAAAAATATGCTTTGTTTTCAGACAAAACTTTTAATAGAAATAAAAATTTGTACAGCTTCAGCCCATCTGAAAAACGGTTTACACAGACTTAATTTAAGTTTGTTATTTCAATCTTAAGTATCTTGCTTTATCCTGATTATTCCACACTGGTATACTAAAACTTTTACGTGAATTGAGCTTATGTTTTGTTAAGCACAAACCTACACAATGGTCTATCTGTGGTGTGCTCAAAGGGGGTATCGAAACCCGATAATTAGCGCTGTAATCCTTCAGACTTGCTATTGAGCCATCGGGGGCTACGTAAATTGAGAATGAAACACGAGCCACATTCTGATGCAGGATGTGTAACATTATATTCATTACATTTCGGATAGGTGTTTCACGAGAAACTTTAATTTAGTAATTCTCCATGCAGTCTTCTTTAAATAAACACAATATAAATAACTATACAACGTCGATTAATAAAGCTCAAATAACCCTTTTAATGTTTCGATAGAACTTTTTTTATCCAATAAAACGTTTTAACTCGATTCTAAGCCTCCAAAAAGCAAACACACACACACACACAGAATCCACCATTTTCACGCATAACCGATTCAGATTTCAGGACTAAAATCATCTTGATCATTACTTGTTTTTCAGGGCATTTGATGTTGACGAGTACATTCACGCATCTCCAGACTACAGAGTTTGAATGAATCTTACAGAAGACGAGAATAAGATTTGAAAAAGATAGAACTAGAGATTCTCATTCATACACATCAATTTATTCTCTCAGTTACTTATCCACAAAACTGAACGATCCATCGGCAACATGGCTCATATGTCTAACAATTTTGCTTTAAGAATTCTATTTTTTTTTCCTTACAAACTAGATAATTCAATTCTTCTCAGTTGAAAAAACATCATTTCAGCACCATATTTTATTCGCAAGACCTTTTAAATTATTTTATAATGAGAAAAAAATACACGGTTACTCAAACTAATTCCATCAAGTACTTGAACGTCTTTTGATTCAGGCATAAAGTAAGAATAAGTAAAAACGGCAATATCAATTAATCAGATCACACGTTTGACAATTCTTCTTTCTTATCGACGAGCTTTGGCGGAAGAATGGGAGTACTGAAGCTTCCACTACCATTCAGCGTCTCAGTGACAGTGTGAAGAGTAACATTGGCGTTTCCGTTGAATGTCACCTTCGTGTAAGCATAAGGCTCTGAGCAACTATAATGACCAGTCGCATGGTGGCGCTGCTCATACAGCCTCATGGAATTAGTTTTTTTAGCACAAAAGCACATCAGAAACACTTTCTTGAATCCTTGACGAAACCTGCAACAGTGGATAAGAACATTCTTACCATATGCGATAAAATACTAAGTCTCTGAATAATCAAGAATTCTTACCATAGCCTTTGACACAAAATATAGTATTCATCCCGTAAATACAATTATGGAATTAAACGTTACGTATAGAAAACGTTCTTTTCTTTTCTGATAAAGTAATGCAAGCTGATAAAACTTTTAAATACTAATATCTATGCACATGATTATTTTAAATATGGCTATTAGAATAAATGTGGTTTATTAAGTGTCTATGAAGGAATGTTTTACAAATAGTAAGCGAAATGCACTGTTTTACTTATTCAATACCGGATTAAGTTTATTGATCAATATACTTTTTTTTTATAAGCAGTTTCTGTTTCATGTTTGGCTTTGCGAGGATTTTAAATTGTCCGCTACTTATAGGTTCATTGCACTCATTCAGCGCACGTTTTTTTGATGCCTGAAAGTGACGTGGATCTTAAATTTTCATGTTCTTGTTTACAAACTTTTAACCACCTAGTGGTGGATCCAATATATCATTTAGTACACTTGTATAAGTATATATATTTATATACAACATTAGAAGTTTGACGATCTGTTTTCGATCCTTATACCTGAAGAAATGGTATAATCAGGTTTGTAACTACATCTTATTTTATCTTGAGGGCATGTAAGCACAATGACAAAACCTTTGTAATTGATTTCTAATCAAAATAGCCTGTCTCCCTGTATATGGCAGGGCTAAATATTTTATTCTTATATAGCAACATTCAAATTAGGTTGTGTAGAAAATTGTTTGTCTGTTTGTTTTGAATTTCGCGCAAAGCTACACGAGGGCTATCTGCGCTAGCCGTCCCTAATTTAGCAGTGTAAGTCTAGAGGGAAGGCAGCTAGTCATCACCACCCACCGCCAACTCTTGGGCTACTCTTTACCAACG